GACCTGACTCCAATCAGTGTCATTTCTGACTAAATATTAGCGTCAGTAATAGTACCAGCACTACAATCACTCAGATACACCGCTAGAAGCAGCAGTATAAACAGCAGTTGCAGTAATGGAAATACGAGACTCGGGCTCCTCAAATCTTTCTGGCCACCTACTATGGGTGAGTGAGGGTAAATAGTACAATAGTACCAGCACAAAAGGCTACTGTCACTTAAGACTAAGTTGGGCGGTGTTTCTAACTGCATCTGGAGAAAGCGGCTTACACCCGATTCCTGCTCGATCGTCTCGACTTTGTCTTGTCACTGGTTAAAGCGAAAGAGGGTCTAAAGTGGGGTAGATGGTGGCGCGTCTACTTTCACTACACCTGATTGTAGTCATCGTCCCTGCTCTTGGACAGATGGGGGACATCATCGCTTGCGATGATCGAACTAACACATTAGTGTATCGCGATGAACCATACTCTGAGGCCATTCTACAATTTGGGAAGAACCACCCGGCCTCCTACGCCGAACTAAAAAATTGCTCTAGGTACAAAACTTAGCAGGCAGAATTGAAATACCTGTTTAGCTTATTATCCGAAAATGGATACCCGCGTGACTTTATGTGACAATAATTCAAACAGAAGCGTATTTCACACGATACGGCCATCCAGGCACCAAAATCAAGAACGATGTTCTGGCGACCGCTCCCGTACATGAAAATTTACTTGAGCTTGTCGAAAGACAACTGAGGGAATATCAGCTACCAGCAGTGGAGCACCCCGCAGTCACCTTACGTTTACAGCTGATACACCCCAATGATAGGGTCGGCTACCTTGTAATACCGTTTACTGCGGCCAAACTGGGAAATCCGTCTCGACCCGCATACATGAACATCAGTTAGCGGTCAAGGGACGCAACCATCCGCCCTAGGTGGCCATTCACACACCTAAAACCGGCCATAAATGTGCGTGATAGATCACGCGAATTGATGACACCTGTTCAAACAGAAAAGACCGTGAATTCTTGGAAGCAATGTGCTCACATGAGGCACGCATCAATCGGTATATCGATTCGCATGCCATCTGCAGAATCCTCAAAGACAACCTCGAACGCGCAAGGTCAAGCACGGCGGCTTATGGGCGCAGACGTTGTCTAACTGTATAATCCTTTGTTAGGCACGGTTAAGTAGTTACTTGTCTTTGTAAACACACCATGTTTCGACAACGAGCTAGGGAGACCAGTATCGAAAATTTACACATGAAAATTTCTATTTTCCCGAAGGATTTAGCCCGCAGTGAACACATAAGTCGCTTATAACGAAGAAGAACTAAGAATAAAGTTATGCTAGTTACTTGTACACCGATCTATTTTTCAGGATGTACGCCATCCTGGTTGATGCCTCGCGAGTTCGGACCAACCGAGTGTATTTCGCAAGGCTGCTAACTGTAATATTACTAATTAAGTTTCAAAAACATATTTTTATATACGACGGCCAATGAGCCAGAAATGGCCATTCTAGAGCCCTAGGTCTTGTCGTTAATACATAACAT